CTATCTGCAAAGATGTCACTTTATACATGCTTTATTTCACCCTAGAAAAGAGGGGAAGGCGGTAGGCAATTTCAATACAGCATCACTCCTTTCTAATCTATTATCAGTTTGCATAAAATTGATATAGCAAGAAATGAACACAAAGTTTTTTGTTTCCTGTTTTCCCTAGAGACAGGGTCTGATTATGTGGTCCAAGCTGGACTGGAACTCCAGGGCTCATCTGAACCTCCTGTCTCAGTCTTCCAATTAGCTGGGACTACAGGTGTGAGCCACAGTATCTGGTTCAAAGACTTTTCTTTTTTTTTTTTTAAGTTGGAGTCTCACTCTGTCGCCCAGACTGGAGTGCAGTGGCCGCTCCCGGCCACCGCAGCCTCGATCTGCTGGGCTTCGGCGATCCTTCCGCCTCAGCCTTCCGAATAGCCGGAATTACAGGTGCGCTACCATGCCTGGCTGATTTTTTGATTTATTGTAGAGATGAGGTCTTGCTACCCAGGCGGGTCTCGAACCCGCGGGCTCAGGCAATCCACTCACCCCCAGCCTCCCAAAGGTGAGGGATTACAGGCTGAGCCACTGAGCCCGGCTAAAAGACTTATTTTTTTAAAAGCCTACACTTTATTGGAACACCACAAGGATACATTCCAATGATTTTGGAAGACATCGATGTCTTAGCAGCATTAATCAGGCAATCTCTTCCAAGTTCATCTGTGTTGATAATTAGGTTTTCACTGATATAACGCACTGCTTCCCTGTTTAAAGTGTGGGGGACAAAACACATATGTTCACAACTCAATCTTTTTGCTTTCATCATACCTAATAGCGTCAAAAATGCCACAGGCAATAATTTTCTGTTCAGCCATTACATATAGAGGGAGGACACCAAAAACCCCTCCCTCTTCAGATCATGGCAATTTTAATCTATCCCACAAGCATAGCCACTAAAATCTATTATTAGGAGAAAATGTGGTAGTCAAATGGGAAAAAAGATACCAACTCTAGTTTTTACTTCAAATATTACTACTTAAATGTGAAAACACAACATATTCAAATTAAAATTTGGTCATTAATCAAAACATTAAGGGAACATATTGTTTGTAACCATTACATCAAATAGAATTTTCTTTGAATGAAAACAATCTTACTTGCAAGCAAGCCGATAGCCACTAATAACTGATGTGGGATGAATTTTCTGTTTGACTAGTTCATCTGCATTTTTTAGAAGTTCTGCTGCAATAATTACCTGTAAAGAAAACATTCAGCACTCTAAGTATGCCTGACATTCAATATGTACAATGCATATGTAAAAACACCCAAAAGAGATGAATGGTGACAGTGGTGAAATGAATAACTGGTTATTAGAAATCAGAAAAAAGAGAACTCAAAGCACAGTAAGCCCTCACTTAATGTCATCGATGGATTCTTGAGAAATGTCACCTTAAGCAAAACAACACACAGCAGGTTCTCAAATATAAAATATAGTTGTTTTGTTATAACTTTGATAAGAAAAAAGTTGGCTTTGTTACAATTAGTTCAGCAATGCAACAGCAGAAGAGACTGTATTATCTTTAGAGACTGAGTGCTCAACAAAAGCTAAATTAAGAGCTTAATTACTTATATGGTCTGTACTAGACTATTATCTGGTTTAAAAAGTCACTCCTGTAAGTTGTGGAAGGAACACAAGGGAATATTTTCTATTTTGTAGCTTTTAAATTACCATCCGCTTCTGGGGGAATTATATTTAAGTTACAAGATCATAAATTAAACAAAGACCATTTCTATATTTAGAAGAGGTAGATTCCATTTTATCAAGGCCGAAGTTTAATCTAGAAATACATTTTCTCCACGAATGATTTCCTGTTTCTCCAAATTTACATTTTCTTCATCAAACAATTGTGTTTCTACTATACCAGGATGCTGGATTACCTATAGTTTATGTCATCATTAATCACATGTTTACTGACTCGATAGATCACACTGTCATATTATGGTATATTACTTTCTCGCACTCTCATTTTGAATTCCTGAGATTAGTTGAGGGGGAACAAGTCACCAAAATTCATGAATAACAACATTTTAAATTGTGAGGCTATGCTAAACGAACTGAAGTTTCTTCCCTACTTAAACTGCACAAGCTAGCTATAACCATCAATTTTCAAACTTTGCTTCTCAATCAGTACCTGAAAAACCGGAAACTCTTCAATACGTAAGCTATTTCTGACACAAAGCAAAAGATTCATTTATGGCTTCAACTGTCTTTCAGTCACTATACCTACCACCGAGGTAGTTCCATCTCCAACTTCTTTGTCTTGCAGATCAGCCAGCTCACAGAGAACTTTAGCTGCAGGATGTTCTACCTCCAGTAACTTCAGGATGGTTGCGCCATCGTTAGTAATGGTTACATCCTAAAATGTTAGCAGGAAAAAAATAACAACATAGACTACTTACAGAAATCAACACAGTCTTGCCATGATAGGCATTCGCCTTTACACTTTTCTTTCTTTCTTTCTTTTTTTTTTTTTGGAGTTGGAATCTCACTGTCTCCTAGGCTGGAGTGCTGTGGCATGCTCATGGCCACCGCAGCCTCAACCTACTGGGCTCCAGCAATTCTTTCCCCTCAGCCTTCCAAGTAGCTGGAACTACAGTCGCATGCTACCATGCCTGGCTAATTTTGTATTTATTGTAGAGATGCGGTCTCGCCAAATTGCCCGGGCTGGTCTCGAACTCGTAGGCTCAGGCGATCCACTCTCCTCAGCCTCCCAAAGTGCTGGGATTATAGGCTAAGCCACCGAGCCGCCCCTTTACACCTTCCAATACCAGCAACATACTTAGGTTCATTTTTAAGACAAGCAACACAACAGGTAGGCATACTCACTCCAATATCATCCACCAACATTTTATCCAAGCCAACTGGTCCAAGAGAACTTTTTACGATATTGGCAATAGAAGCTGCAGCCATAACTGTAGATAATCAAAGAAGAAAAAAAAAATCAGAAAATTCTACAACTGACGATCATTTCAGCCTAAAGAACGTAAATGACATCCAACAGATCCTCAATTTTCCAAATCTACAAACCTGTCCCAGTTACTTAAGAAAATCAACTATTAAAAGCCTAGTTGTTATAGCTTTCTTTCCATCAGCGGGAAAAATGTCTAAATGGAGAGAAGACTGAAAAAACAGCCACGATTTTATGCTGTGCCGTTTCATACACACAAGAGGCATATATCTTCTTTCAGATTCTGGCAAGTTTTTGTTCCATTAAATGAAGAACCTATCCGTGAGGCGAAAAACTGGTACTTCAAAGGGGAAACTGACTTCACTTCAAACTCGTTCAAGACAAAAAAAACGAGGAATTATAAAGATAGCTCCACAGGCATCCCAAGCAGTTCAACGGCAGCAAGTACTCTGCGGCTCGTCCACTGGGTAACTCCATCCATCCGACGTGTCCAAAGCTGTCAGTGATGGGGCAAGCGCTAACCCTGGTCCTCGGGCGCCGGACTCCAAGCAGAGCAAGTCCCCTAATCCAGGGGCCACTTGCTCATCTGAAAAACGAACGGCCGGACCAAGCGTTTTCTGTTTAAATGTCCTAACACGAAGCCCCAAGGCTGAGACTCGCTCCTTCGGGCTGGAATCGGAAAAAAATGGGGGTGGGGGGGCCGCGGCCGCACGTGCCAGCGCGGGAGGCCCAAACACCCCGCCCGCCCGCACCCCCAATCGAGCGGTTCCCCAAAACGTGCTGCGTTCTGGGAGTGCCCCGCTACGGGGAGAGGGCGCTCCAGCGCCGCCTCGCCCCGGAGCACGCCGGGTAGTTGGGACCGGACCGCGGAGCCCCCCCGGGGCCCTTCAGCGAAGGGACGAAGGAGAGGCGCGAGGGGGGCGCCACGGGCCAGCCGGGCTAGGGATGCGGCCCGCCCCGGGCCTCGCCCGCCCTTACCGTTCTGGGAGCGGATCGCCTCCCCAGTGCTGCGGTCCCCGAACACGGACAAAGGCCCTTCCATCTTCCCGGCAGGGACGCACGTCGAATTTTACTCACACCGCGGGCAACCAGGATCCCGGCCCTTCAGCCGAGCAGTAGCCACCCCAGCGGCAGCTACGGCGTGGAACTGGCCAGAGAGACGCCGCGAGGGCTGCTGGGTAACACCGCCCCACCCGCTATCCCACTCCCAGGGCCCGCCGCGAGGCATGGTGGGAAAGGAGGAGGAGGCGGAGCAGGTGGGGGAAGATCGAGAATGCGCCGGAAGTGAGGCGGCGGAAGAAGGCGGGCTCGGTATTTTTGTCCAGTTAGACAGCGGATGAGAAGGGCGCGAACGCGTAGAACGTACGTCAGGACCTCGGGCCGCTGGGAGGAAGAAAGTGCGTTTTGGAACGTTCACCTCCGGCAAGGGCGCGCATGCGCGTTCGGACATTCTAGCGCCTTCTAGAAGGCTGTCGGCAGGGCGGAGCTTGAATTTGAGAGGTCACGGGAGGGGGCAAGCAAGCCCTTCTGGGGTTTTAAGCGAGTCTGGCGTTTTATCTTCTCTCTTCCGTGCGCTCAAACGCTCGGGGGCGTGAGACGAATCAGCCGGCTTTGTTCCGGGGCCCAACCCTAGATGGGATTGGGCAGTTTTCCCCGTGGGTCACACGAGAAAATTTTTGGTTCTAAGACAACTACCCTTTTTTGAGAAAATTGTGCATCTTGCTCTGCCCCTTTTCTTCCCAGAGCCCGCTGGGGGCTTGTGTGGGCCCAACGATGATCACTCTAAGGCTTGCGACTAAAGAACCCAAATATGGGGACGCGAAACCGTGGGTGCATCAGACGCCGGACTCGCACAGAAAAGCGTTGCCCAATACTAACAAGATCATTTCCCATTCTGGAGGCGTTTGCTATGAGGTGGTTGGTGGGCTCCGAGTCTGCGTGCGCCTGAATGTAAGCGGTGATTGGCGGAGCGAGATAACAGATTGCCGCATTCGCCAATCAGCGGCCAGAGGCTTATACTTCCGGGTCGAGAGCGCCTCCTGCACGAGGGTTTCCATGATTTCTGCAGTCCAAAGGCTTTACCCCCGGTTAATATGGCTGCGCCTGGCAATCCACAGATGAGTCCGTGAAGAAGAGGAGGTTTTGTCTGAGATCCTCTCAGCAATGGCGCTTCGGTCGCGCTTCGGGGGCTTGTCGGTTTGCAGAAACCTCGGTAATTAATCTTGCCCCGCCTTTCTCAGCTTATTCCCCAGGACCTGCGCAGTAACTTTGACTATGCAAGTCCTATTTTATAGTCGGGATACTCCATCGAACAGTAAACCCGCTCACGGCGCTGTGATGACTGTAGTGAGAAGCTAAGGACCGGGGTCAGTGATGATTAATTACAGCCTGTGGGCATAATATTTCATCCTCCTTCGTCCTCCTTCCAGGGCCCGAAGATTGGGGGGTGGATGGTATAGAAGTTGGATCATATCCTGTTCGTCGTTTTTAAAGGATCTGTGTGGCCGTTTTTATTTCCTAGCCTGTGGGTTCGCAGCGCGCTCTACCAGTTCCAAACCGGCGGCTACACCTGAGGTAGACCCTCTGGAAAATGAAGCTGTTGCCCCAGAGTTCACCAACCGTAACCCCCGGAATCTGGAACTCTTATCTGTAGCCAGGAAAGAGCGGGGTTGGGGGACAGTGTGGCCCTCCCGTGAGTTCTGGCACAGGTAATTTTAAGTGCGTTTGTCATAGACTTGCGGAGCAGTGCACGGTTTCCTACACATGATTTTCATTAATTCATTCAACGAATGTGCCAAATACTGCCCGGGCCTCTCAGGGAGCTGACCTGCGGTGGGTACATGCGGGCTAGCAGAGGAACTGGAATGAACAAACAATACCTATGTGTATTGGAGAAAAGTTAAAGAAGATGATGTCCCCATAGGGGACTGGGTGCCTGCTGAGGTGTCTCTGAGGAGGTGACATTTAAAAAGCTGAGATCTGAAAGATAGGAAGAAGCCAAGTCATCTGCTAGAGAGAGCGTTCCTAGCAGAGGAAACATCCCCTAGCTGTAATGAGAGGTCTGGCTATATTGCCTAGGCTGGTCTTGAACTTCTTGCCTCAAGCGATCCTCTCTCTTTGGCCTCCCAAGTGCTAGTATTACTGGCAAAAGCCACCACTCCCAGGCTCTAAAAATCCTTTGAAACACCCAACCTATTATTTTCATTTAAAGTTGGAAAATCAGAAGACTATTTTAGGGAGGAGGATTGCTTAAGCCCAGGAGTTTGAGACCAGCCTGGGCAACATAGTGAGACCTCATCTCTACAAAAGAAAAAAAAATCAGCCGGGAGTGGTGGTGCATGCATGTTGTCCCAGCTACTTTGGGAGGCTGAGGTGGGAGGATAGCTTGACTTAGGAGTTTGTGGGCAGCAGTGACCAGGGATTGTTCCACTGCATGCCATCCTGGGCAACAGAGAATGTTTTGTGACATGTGAAAAGTACTTGAAAATCAAATTTCATTGTCCACAAAGAAAGTTTTCTTAAAACATAACTACACTCATGTTTGTTTACATGTCACCTGGCTGTTGTAGCACTACAGTGGTTGCGTTGAACAATTCGACAGAGATTGTATGGCCTACAAAGCCTAAACTATTTACTCTCAGGCCCTTTACAGAAAAAGGTCCTTGACCCCTGGTTTAAGAGATTGTGGTGTTACTAGAGCCAGCAAAACCAGGAATAGGAACCACATTTCCAAATCGAATGTATTTCACTTTAAGAATCCTAGTGAGATATCTGATTTGGATGTTTTACCTTGAGCTTAACTTTTTTTTTTTTTTTTTTTT